GGCATTGTGCTGTTTGTCTAAGTATCCACGTTGCGAGACCAATATGAAGGTTGGCGTCCGAATAACCACTCAAATGAGGACTTTAATGGTGCAAAAAGAAAGGTGTCACTTAATACTGTGACAGATCGTCGATGCTCACCTCTGTGTGCGTGTAGGTCATGAGTGCTCGATTCACTCGCAGCATGACACGATATGACTTACCACTGGAGTATGTCACCACATGGCATATAGTGCCAAAGTAATGCCTTCCACCATGAGCAGATAACGGTTGATGGCAAAGATGACCATGACAGTGATCAACCTGGCCCCCCAGATGACGTGAACCTCTTGAGGAAAAGTCACAATATACTCATAGAAGATGAGGGCTGAACATGTCCAGTCTGTTCATCGAGTTCGTTTGCTTATAGTGGTCCGACCCGAGGGCATATCAGCAGCTGCGAGATAGCAGTAGTTGTTGGTGTATCTGTGACAACGCTGATCGCAAACTCGTCAGTTGAACGCCTCAGAAAGTAACGTCTTCCTCACGTGTCCTGTAAGAAGTCCACTTCTTCCTGAGCGAATATGCTTTCGACTGACGTGATCGACATTGTAGAGGTGTCAACGTCGGTGACAACGGTCAATATAAGACAGAACAGTCCTCGGAGAGACTTTAAGGATGCCCATCAGTGCATGACTCATCCTCATATAATGCCTGAATGAATGCAGAGACTGAGGTTCAGATGGGGGCTTACGGATAGCACAGGTATTGAATATTACCAAAAAGATCATCTGCCAAACAGGACAGCCATGTCAAATTATGATACGTCTGGTTCTGTCAGAATGGCCGAGGCCAAATCATGTCACAGGGCGGAAACAGAGCGGGCGAGTACCGAAGGATGTAAAATATGCACATGTACTACTGTATTCCCCAGTCGTTTGCGGCCCTAACCGGCCTCTCACTCCTCGCACCCCTGAGGCAGGAAAGTGAGAGCTGGGTAGCACCAGGGTCATACCATAATTTCCTAGAGAAGGTTATGGTAACCTTTATGCTACTACAAGATGCAAAGACGCTCATACAGTGTATGTAGATGAGATTCCACAGCAAAATAACATTAGCTATATTAGGCTATGCGCACCCACGTGTGATGAATCGCGCTTCGGAACGACACCTGTCGCAATGGTTGACGAGGTGGATTGATTTTTCACGGTATGACATGCATTAGGTGAGACTTTAATCATTCTCCAAAAATTCCGCTAATGCTGAACTATTCATGAACATTTGCTCAGTAAAAAATCAGGCACACAACATCGCTTCCGTCACTGCGCTAGATAGCGCGGGCGATGAGCGCGGGGTTCCACTACGTCGCTTGAGGACGGCCAGACTTAGCGCAAGTCAGGTCTGCTTCGCCTGTCTCTTGGCCTCGTTACCAATGGGGCGTTGTAGAACAGTACCACAGCCTGTATCTCCGTAGAAATGGAAAGCATGCCGTCGCAATGACCTAGCATAACATCTGCGTACCCATCGAATCTGCGCAGGGAGACATAAGAAATGAATGCCGACGATACCATCGACAGCTTGCATTGTATATGATGTTTCTCTCTTTAACATAGCGCTTTGACTGGTCAAGCGTACCTGTTTAGCTATCCCCTCCTTCTCTCCTTCTATGGTCTTGAATAGCAAGGTGAATTCATCTCAACGAAATGAACGCGTCGGTGGCGGGAGCAGAGATTCAGAATCACGACACACGTGCGCGTGACGCATCGCGAAAAGACGTGCAAAATCGGAATCTTCTCATTTCGCCTCGTTTTTCTCGTTCTGTCAGTTTCTGTTTTCCCGCTGCAGGGCGGCTTGCCGTTCGTTCCTGCTGGTTGGCCTCTTTTCTCTCCGCGTCTTTCTTAGGATACTTTGCATTGTACTCAGAAACGATGGGCTATATACCCAACCATGCGCTAGAGAATTTGCGGAAGTATTCTTATAAAGGGGTAGACAAGTGCGTCATCATTTGCTATTAGAGTGATGGTCAGTCGAGCTTACTTGACTGGCTCTTTAGATCTCTTGTCTCGATATATGTGCTCCAGCCGTTCTGGACTTGGTTTGTGACACTGTGGCCGACATGGGTAGCACCGAACACTGTGCGTGCGATCTGGACTTCAATTTGCTGCCGTAGCCTGAAGGGAGCCTCATAGATTACGCTGTCTGGTCTATGCCTCGTTTTGTCCAATGTCTTCACGCTGCTGTACTACGACCCGTTGTACTTGACGGACAAGGACGGCGCTGGGCCTCCGCAATGGATCTACCTCACGCGAGTACTGGGTTCTGAATTGTTGCGCGTGGCCGGGCTGTGTTGATACTGTCATCAGATGGGCTCTAGGCTTGTTTTTCTACCAGACGTTTGATGCGATTGATGGGTGCGTCACTCAAAGTCCGAGGAATTGCGTGCATGCTCATCTGGGTGGACGTGCAGGAAGCAGGCGCGGAGGACAGGCATGGCTGGCCCCCTGGGGGAGCTGTTCGATCATGGTATGTTTTATGATTCTTCTAATCAAATGCAATTGCTGATGGACAGTTTTAGCATGCGACGCATTGAACACCACGGTATGGTCTTGCTTGGCAAGATATCGCCTCAGCTTACAGCCTCGCAACATATAGTTGGAGGTCATCCTGGCATGCCGCGCGTTAAACCTTGGCCGTTCCTGGTGGACTGTCTCCTCTCAGATTGCCACCTTGGCGAACTTCTACCTCTCCACGTGGGAGGAGTACCATACCGGTACGGCTGAGCGTTAAGACAGGCACGATCCAGTGTGATAACGCTGATGATGCTCTTATGTAGGACAGCTGTTCTTGGGGCATTTCTCCGGACCGGTTGAGGGTATCTTGATCATCTGCCTGATCTATTTGATTTCTGGGATTTTCGGTGGGTGTCGGAGGAAACGTTCGCATATTCTGGCTATAACGCATTTGCCAACAGGCCCATCGTTCTGGGACAAGGGGCTGCTTGATGTTACTGCACTGAAACATATACCAGCAATCGCCGATAAGATACCAAATTTACCTCTCAATGACGCTTTTATGGTCTTCGGTGCTTTTGGTTTGGCTTTCAATATCGCTACTAGGTAGGTACTGTTGTGTCTCTTACAAGAGCCCCTCTCACAATGGATCACGCAGCTATATCAACGTCTTCAAGTCGCGCGTGGCCACCAAGCAGAATCCATTCGTTCCGCTGCTGCTCCTGCTGCCATTCCCGATTTCGGTCGGGATGGAGGTCTTCTGGCTGAGCGCACCGACGCTGCAACACTCGGTGATCCTTCACTCGCCGCTGTTCCTGCCGTTCCTGCTCGCGTGGGGCCTGCAGTTCGCACATCAGGTGTCGCGGATCATCCTTGCGCACGTCACGAAGCAGCCATTCCCGTACTGGGACTCGATGTGGATATGGAGCATTGTCGGGGCGGTGGATGCAAACTTGCCTCTGCTGATTGACCGGTGCGTGCTCTTGCTGATATGTGTCTAAGGCTGGGTGGCTGATGAATTGTCGCATGACAGAGCACCTCTAATCCAGTCATCACCGCGCAACACGGCGATCTTCGTCTACATCACACTGGCGGTGTCCTTCCTCTCGTATGCACGCTTTTGCACGTTGGTGATTCAGGACATCACGAACTACCTCGGTATCGCGTGTTTCACGGTGCGCAAGAAGGACAATGCGGGTAAGTGGGTGGAGGCGTCTGCGATGAACGGGAAGAAAGACTGAGGAGCCCTGGAGTCTCTGTCTCGAGGCCTGGAGGATCATACAAAGCCTTGATGGCCCAGATAAGCAATAGAAGCTACGAGCTTTGACGAAAATGCATGTCTAGATCAACACTAGTGGGTATTTAGGTAATGATCCAGAGACAAGAAATAATATTGTTGCTGCTGCAATCGTGCATTTATTCTATGGTCGGGTCTCAGTCTGAATACATTTATTATAAAACGGCGTCGGATTATGACAAGTCGTAACGTGTCAGTTGAGCTCGATGCATTGCATTAAGGAGGACATTACGCGACAGTCAGAGTGACATTAATACGCGCTAGTGATGGTCACCGAGATGATCATGACGACCGCGGCGCGTTTCTTCACTATGTCCACATTTCGCATGCGATACTGCTGTCATACAGAAAAACTCATGCAGACTCATGTTACATGGATTTCTATGACCTATTCAATGTCACTTCGCAAAACTCGACACAGTATAGAGGACTCAGGGACTTAGGGGTAGGACACCCCGGCTTCGTGCATGAGGTCCGCCACGTCGATGTCTACATTGTGACGGAAAGGTGAATGGAGAGGAACGCGCCGTGAATGAGGCAGGACAACTCACGATCCTCGGTATGCTTCATGCGTGAAGCAAACGAGCATGTCTCTCCTAACACATCCACAATTGGTCAGTCATCCAATACCACTTGGTGCTCACCTACCTGGGCCGAAGATAAAGTCACCGCCCAGCTGCGAGATGTTTCCTTGCTTGCCGATGAGCTGCGGATTCTTGAACGGGCCATCCTGAGCGTACTCGATGTCCATCATACTGCATTCACCAACAGAAGGGTACGTTACCCAGATGCTCTTTACGACATTCCCGATGAAGCTCTTCCCGAGGTATGTGCGCTTCTCCTGTCCCGCCGGTGTGCGCTCAAGCGACTCTGCGAGAGCTAGGAGTTGGTGCAGTACCCTCGAGGGGTCGGCGTAGAGATCGCCCTTGTATCCAGTGTTCTCTGGTGGGAAGAGTGAGCGGGACAACTGTCAGGCATGGGTAACTAAAGCCCGCATTCGTTGGACGTGGACAATCTCCATGCTCAGTGACTCAGCACGTTCTCAATATGCGAACTCTACGCCATACAAGCGACTTGCAGGCCTGAAGGAGTGAGCTCCCGTGCGCAGATCGCTCGAACCCCACGACGACCTCAAATCTACTCACCACAGTAGCTCTTGATCGGCTGCCAATCTCCACATCCAATCACGACGAGACGTACGCCTGCCTGTTCAAGAGCATCACTACGCACAGTGGCGAGTTGTGCAACGTATTGCTGTCCATGCATGAGCGCGTCGGCAGACACAGTGACGTGAGAGGACTCCAACCTGGCAGCTCTACGCCACGTCCTGTGAACGAATTAATTTGACCTGCGCAAGAAAACACATACTCCGCAAAAGAAATGCCCTGCGTTGTGAACGGATAGTTCATAGAGACATGGTAGTGTAGCATGGACGAGTTTACGTCAGTCCGGTTCGGAATAAGAGGATTCAAGAGGATACGAAACGGATAAACACTACGATCGTCTTCTGGCCCCGGAATAGACTGCCAAATTCAACTGGATTCCCGGACGCGTCGTAAACGGTGACCTTGGAGGCTTCGCGCACCGTCTTGTCGTCAGGAAGGGTCATCGTATGACAATGATGTGAATTGGCGGCACCAGCTGCAGATAGCCTGGAAACAGTGCGCGGTCCGGCGTCAATCATCACTCTACGTAGTCCTCGACCACCACTTCACGCGCGCCCTGGGAGGTTCTCCGAACGACGTTGTGCTGGCTTTCTGTTTCCTGTAATTGTCCATAATCTGCTCGCCGTATATCTCACTGCTTCAAGCTACGCGAAGCTATCGCACCCTCGTCCAGACTGCTCCTAACAGTGTCTCACCATGCAGTCCCTTCGCGTTCGCAAGCCGACCGAGTCCCAGCAGCCGCCGAAAGTCCAACGTTCTGCGAGCCGGCTCATTCGTGCGAGGGATGGCCGCAGATCCACTAGGGTCGACGAGAAGATGAAGCGGCGCATGTCGACGCGCTATGCAGACATCTCTTCTCCTACCGAGGCCTCCGTACCCGCGGTGCCCAGCCTCCCCATTGGCATTCAGCCCTCACCTGTCAAGCAGCATGAGGCTGCTATTCCGGAGGTATCATCGCCCGTGGAGGATCCGAGAGTCACTGAGGCGAGGCTGCTTGACGAGGATGACTTTGATCCCGATGCTTGTGCGAAGCCATTTGATGTGTTGAGGATTCATCCGTATTGACCGCATAAAGGACAGACTTGAAAGTGAAGATGGCGAATTCAACAGAGGCGGAGCTCAAAACTATGCAGTCGTCGCTACGAGCGCAAAGGGATATGGTCGCGAAGGACCTGCAGCACGATGTCTTCAAGAAGTGAGCATTCGCATCCTATGCGCTTACTTCACTCAACGAACTTCAACGCGTTTAGTTATGCTGAATTTGTGCAAATATCTAAGGAAGTCAGCGTCATTGAGAATGAGATGCTCGAGTTCAAAGAGTGCCTCGCGGAGTGGAAGGGAATGCCCTCGCTGCTCCACATTGAAGAGTCGGCATCTGCTGTAGGTGCGCTATAACTTTCTATTGTCAGAAGAAGTGCAGCTAAACGCCCTCATAAAGAACGGCGACGGAATGTTCGCTCCTCCATCGCTGACCTCCGTGTCCTGTACGCCAACCAGATGCAAACCCTGCACAGCCAAATCGAAGGCTCAAGCAAATTTGTGCCTATTACCCCGGGTCGTCACGTCGTTTCAGAAATGGACAACATCCTCGCGTTGAACCCAGCCACATATAAGGTTGATCACCCCGTGCGGTTCGTCATCGTAGATGATGCGGTGCTTGTTGCTCGCATCAGACGGCGGCGAAACAATGCGGAAAGCGACAAGCAAGTTGCTGAGCGGTGCTGGCCACTGAACGAGATGCTGGTGTTGGATACAAAGGACACTGGTTGTAAGCTTTGCTCTTGCATTTGGGATTATGGGACGGTGATTCAGAATGCCTCGCAGCCATGACGAATGTGTTCAAGATCAGGCATGGCAAGGAGACACATGTGTACCGTACAGAGATCTCAGCCGACAAGAGACATCTCTTGCAGACATTTCGCCAGGTTGCAGAAGAGCTCTCCGCAAAGAAGCGCAAGGAACGCGAGGGCGAGCATCTCCGACGAAAAAGTCTGTGGGGCGGTGATGTACGTCTCACATCCAGTCTCGTGGAGGTTGAAGACCCTCTTTATAACGTATTGCACCCAGCGCAACTCAGCTGTATTTGGGGTTGAGCCCATGCCCGCAATGCCACCTATTCCAGGATGGATGGCGGACCTTATTGGGCAGTCGGAGGTGGGTTCGGATGCGAAAGATAAGGTTGAACGCGATGCGCGCTGGATCGGCGACTTTTGCGACGATCTGACTGTCTCTATCTCTCTTCGCGAATGGGACAAAGCCGTGGAGCTCGTCGAGCAGGGTAAGTGCAATCCTGCGTTCGTACATTCTATAACATTCCTAAGAATATATAGGTGAGGCACAGCTTACGAGCATGCCGTCCCTCGGGGCAAAACTCGCCTCGCTGAAAGCCTCACTCACCACTGCGCTCTTGCAAGCACTTTCGCAGCCTTCGAATCGCAAGTCTGCGGTGACCCGGCTGAGTGCACTGCTCGTTCGTCTGAAGGCAGGTGCCGCGGCTCGAAGCGCATTCCTTGCTGCGCGAGAGGACCTCATGCATCGCCGCTTGCGAATGATTCGTTTTGAAGGCGATATAGAGATGTATGTCGGCGACTTGGCGGTGGTGGTGTTTACCGGAATCAAGCACACCGCAGATTGGTACTTGTCGAGCTTTAAAGAGAACGACGTGGCAAGCTGTGAGTAGTTTCTTGTAATCATATGAGCGCAAGCGTTGGTAACGCCTTTTTGAAGTCTTCATTGAATGGGCGAAGAAACAGGTCGAGTTTTACGCAGAGGTGTTTCAGAGACAGGTCTATGGCTCCGACATAGACCAGCAGACGATAGACGAGGCAATCAAAATCACTCACCTGCAGAGTCGTAGAGTACGCTGGTCTTACATTCCTAACTTGATGGTCAAGCATTGACTTCGGCCACAGTCATTAGAAGAGTATGGTATCGACTTCCGCTTCCTCTTGGACAAGCTCCTGTTGGAAGCGCAACCCTCCAACCATACAGGTCCGCCTCCCTTCAAACCACACAAAGAGCGAGAGCGAGAGCTCATCCAC